AAAGACCTCCCTATTTTCTCTCTGTGTTTTATACAAGCAGTGTGTTCGGGATATTGCTGCTGCAAAAACACTTGAATCTAGCCCAGTTATTAATTTGATAAAATTATTTCCCTCTACTAGTATACCTAGTATTCTATGAAGTGCACTCACATATAATTTCATGCATGCCCTGCCATCAACAATAAGTTCCTTGGCGTTAAGGAATAAAATTACAGAAAGAGAAATACAGAATTGTTATCCTCTTATTATTGTTTTTCTTTGTACTCTAGTGATGTTTTTCCATACTGATGTTTTAGAAATCTCTGTTTGAATTCTTCAGTTGAAGTAGATAAAGTTTTCTTATTTCAGACACATAATTTGGAATTTATCCAAGTTAATCGCATAACAAGATGATACGGTTGGTAAAATGATGCTATCTATAGCAGAAGTGCACATTTCCCCAAGATCAAAAGCGCATGACCCCCTTTTAATAAATTCGATTGCTCTCATCTTCTTAAAAAAACGAATTATTGAAAGTATAATGGGAAAAAATATAGATCTTACACGTACTGTTTTCCTGTGATTTAAATGTTCATATTTTTCATGAAGATCACACCTATAATTTTTTTGTCAATGAAACATCCTAAATTAAATTCATTGGAAAATATTTTGTTTACTTACATAATTGTGTCAAAAATATGTTTAAAGTACGTTTGGGATTGAAATTTGCTATTAATTATAAGGAGAAGGTGGTGAGTAACAAATTTTAGGGAGTTTTTATACCTCCTGTAAAGATAAAGGAATTGAGTTAGGGAGTATTAGAACTTATAATGATGAAGTATTAGAACTTATAATGATAAAGTATTAGAACTTATAATGATGAAGTATTAGAACTTAAAACTTGAACAATATTTTATCTATATTAATGCAGGAGGTAATTTATCTTGGGTGTACATCTTTTTACAATCAGCCTCTCAATTGGCCTAATGACAAGACTGGAACAAGCCAGGAAAGCAGAACTTGAGCTGGAATGACATTTTGGTACACGTTCAAGCGACATATTTGTGGGTTTTTTCCATCTATTATTTTCAATAATAAATCTTTGTGCTCAACAAAGAAAAAACTCACCTCAATTTGGGGTTTAATATTTTAACATAACAACAACAAATACGTATAATATGCTTATAACAACATACTGGAAAAATTCATCATTCACCATACGCTGTTTTTATTGTTAAAATATAGTTTGTTTTAATTTCTTTCAATGGTAAAGCGGCCAATAAAAAGAATAGAAATTACTCTAAAATTTGGGGTCTTTCATTACATGGAGGGTACGTAGAATCGAAAAGCTGAATAAAAAAAAATATATCGTACTGCTTTTTTTAACAAATTGATTTGTTAAATTATTTTATCCATTTTAAGTTAAATGAAATTAATGTTTTTCATTTCAGAAGCAATATTCTCCTTTTAAATCACTGTTCATGTGAGTATAATTAAAGAAAAAATAATAATAAGGACAGGAATATTTTTTGCAGAAATACCAGAGTAAAAGTTTCAAAAAAATATTTTGATCATCTAATGATATATACATTGCTAAACTATATACATATTTATATACAGGGCACGTATATATTTTAGAAGGTAAAAAATCTGTATATATATGTGTGTGTGTATATGTGTCTATTTTAGATTTTTTTCTAATCAAACGAAAAAGCCAAGTTCAGTCCATACAGATGTGCTATTAAAAAAAGTTTTAGTGCAAAACAAGCCTAGACAATAAAGACCAACATGAAGGTAAGATCAGAAAAGGGAATTATTGAAGACTGTCTGGAGAATGTGTGCAAAGTAACATATGAGGCAAAAATAGGAAGGCCCAGAAAAACCTGAAGGAGTCAAGGAAGAGGGATCTCAACAAAAAGCAAAGAATTGTTTAAGAAAAGGGACATTTGGATCAGGCCATACATGTGGACTCCTCACACTGCAGTGCAATAGAGAGAGGCTATATTTAGAGGAAAACTTTATAAATGATGAAAAATCGTAACAGAAAAATTATTATTAATAATATTTCCACCTCAAATAGTCCTCTATTTTGAAAGATAGAATTTCTTAAATGACATAAACAAACATTTTGAACTTTATTACTTGAATATTCATATGCGTGAACAAATCTTCATTAAAATCTGAGAACCTTGTGGGTCAAGTTGAACATGGATGTATGATTTGTCAAGAATTGGCCTTTTTAATAAAATATCCAATTATGGTGGTATTAGATAAACTGAAAAACAAACATTTATTCTGAAACAAAATTTCACTGATTTGAGTTACAATTACTTTAATTGTTTTTTAATATTAATTAGTTTGAATAATACTTTGACTGATCATAGATTAACATTTTCTTTTGTTGATGATCCTTCAATTTTCTTGCCTATAATTAACTGTTGAACAGAACAATTTCTATCCTTCCCTTAGTTAGGAAACCTGGCAATGTAATATTCCAATAATACTATGTAGATTCCTAGAAGAAGAAAGCATGGCGCAAGTTGTGTCATAAAAATTTATGGAGGGACATATTTCTGCGGGGTTTTGAAGTCATTAGGGAGGTATACTTTGGTAGGATTTTGAATTTATAGAGTGAAACATATTTTTGTGGGGTTCCAATTTGGAGGAGCTTTCAAACCAAGGAACAAGAGGAAAAGATGCAACAAACCACAGCAAGTGTAATTGAATATAATCTGCAATTCTTATAATTGTACTTTTGCTCTCACTTTTTTATTTTTTTGGGAGCCATAAAGTTGTTATTGAGGGAGAGGGTTAATCAACCCTTGACCCTGGGAAGACATCTCGATTAAAAAATTAATGTTGTTAAAAAATTACCTATCAGTGTCCAAACATGAAACAACAAACATGGACTATGTAACATTCTATGGCATACATACATTCATGGTATTATTTAAGGGTTATCCTCAGGACTGTTTACTCTGATACTACAATTTTGTTTTAACAAAATTAGAACATAAGTTATAACTAGAGAACGGATTTCCATGTTATTGCACCTTTTATTTGCTTGTGTGTAAAAACTCCGAACCCGAACATCTATCCGTTTCAGAACCTGTAGAATAACATATTTAAATTTTATAATGCACAAAATAGCACGATTTTTTTTTTTGTTGCATTAAATTGCACATTTTTTCATTAAATTAGACGATTTATAAATACAAATGTACAAGTGAGTTTGTTAATATTTATTTTACCTTATTGTTCAAATTAAATTCATTATTCAAAATAGTCAAACATGAGGAAGGCAAATAATTCTGTGAATCTTATTCATTACAAAAGGATGAAGTAAATATATTCTTGGAATAGAACTTGCCTGCCTAAAGTATTGGATAATAAAAAGCTGCTTTACTAGAATTCTCACTCACCCTTCAGTATCACTTCTGGCTTTGAATTGATTTGTAGAAATTTCACTCTTATTAAAAAAAAAAAATTATATTTCTGAAAGTAAAATCTAGTCTCCCTTCAAAAATAAAAATCTGGATATAAAAATACTCCGATTTTAAATGTGAGGACATAGAATTTGATGAGAAAGTTCTATACACTTTATGAATCAATCAGGTGATAGGAAATCACTGATAGACTCTCATTGGGGAACAAGTAAAAAAAAAATATATTCTTATCAAAGAATTGAATGTTTTTTAGAAAGAACGTAATCCCCAAAAATATTATTTTAGTGGTATAGAATAACAGCTTCAACACTAATTTCTGAACGCTTGAAAATCTCAAACATTACCGTCTATTTTAAATTTTTTTCTAAACTCTTTAAATTTATTGAACGTTTGGGAATGTATAATATTGGAAACTTCAACTCTATTAAAAATAAATAAAGTTTTCATTATTATTTTTAATAAAAGTTATATATCTAAAATTGGTTTGATCTCTGTAATATATATATATATATATATATATATATATATAGACAACTATAATTCCGGCCTTCATTTATTCTTTCAAACCATCATTGCTCTGCATTATTTGATAATAATAGTTTATTATAATCTGGAATTTCATTTTCAATGTTACATTTCAATTTTTTTTTTATCTCGCAGTTAACTCAAGATCTGATAAGATTTTAATGCATTAATGTTATAAATTAAACAATATTGATGGTTTTACACGTATTTAGATGTTAATTACACTATTTTACATATTATGGATTTATACGGCACGTTTTCCGGATTTTTACTGCACGAAAATCTGGTCTCTAGTTATAACTAATGGCTTTCATTAAGACGTATTCAATTTTCTAGATGGTATTAAGATTAATGAAACTTCAAGTTTTACATGTTGTAGATTAACAATGAAAACTTAATACTTTAAGTTAAACTGCAAACCAAAGGAAAAAAAGATTCAATTATAGTTATATTGATTTTATTTCTAAAATTCTGAATTGTTCACCTTTTCCTTAAATTTTTGGACATGTTATCAAATAAAAACTCATATGCAAATCAGATATTACATTTCATCCATCTATTAAGAGTCATGCTTATTAGGATTTACCTCTCAACAAAAGAAAAAATAATTAATACCTCGAAATATACGATACTTATGCCAATTCATCAAAAATAATAAATAATAAAAAAAACTTATCATAAATTTACTTTTAAGTGAAGCTCTAAAACAATTCATTTCAACATAAATAATGAGAACATGAAATGATTGCTAATAATTCGAAATATATTATTTTATAAAAGAGATTAAAACGATGGTAGAATAGGTCAATTTAACTCTTTATTTAGAATGTGAATGTTCTGTAAATGCACACTTTACTTAGTTCAAGTACATTAAGATTAACTTTCTAAAAGATAAGCAATAAAGACTTTCACGCAATAATTCCATAAACTATTAGTTATTTTTACCATTCAATAGAGATAAAATTAAGTGTACTTCATGTGTTTAAATACCAAAAATGTTAAAAGAGGAAAAGGAGAGAAAAATTGACTGATAAATAAAAATGCAAATATAGTATAAAAGTCTTGTATTAAAGTGAAGATACAAATTAGTCAAGAAATACAATTAAATTAAATTGAATCTGTTACATATAACAGTGAAGTACAGAAATAAAATTGTTAAAATTACAATAAATGAAGACACTAACAAACATGTTAGTGATTTAAGGCACTGAGAACAAAAATTAGGGGTGTGAACATTTTAGAAAAAATATTAATAATTCTTTAAAATTTCTTGAAAGACTTTTTTGTACCTGTGCCTTTGGACACCTTTAAAACATTAAATCTCACAGTTTTGCTCAATGGTCGACACTCACCAATAGTAACAATATCGCCTATTTCAACATCCCTGAAGCAAGGTGATAGATGGACTGACATATTCTTGTGACGCTTTTCAAAACGATTATACTTCTTCACATAGTGGAGATAATCTCTTCTGATGACAATGGTCCTCTGCATCTTCATTTTTCTAACAATTCCAGTCAATATTCTTCCTCTGATAGAAATATCACCGACGAACGGGCACTTTTTGTCAATGTAGGTACCATCCAACGCTTCTCTAGGAGTTTTGAATCCTAAGCCAACATCTCTAACTCTTCTCAAAGACTTCTTCTTGCTGCGAGTTTTGCTAACTAAACACAAATGTGGTTGTTTTTGAAAAGCTCTTTCAATTTGCTCAGCCATCCTAAAGGATAAGTAATCAACCACGTGCAACACAACGAAATTGGTAAAAGGATAACCTCACGACGTGTAACTCACAGTACTCGAACCAAAGCCACTTAAATAGCACTGATGACTAAACGGAATATTAACTCCTCCTATCCTAAAAAAAAATGATAATATCTATTTCAATATTTCATTGAGTTTAATATTGAATTAATGTATTTTCTTGATAATTATAAAATTAATTAATTTCTTTAGAACGTTATCCATGATACAAAAGAGTAATGAGCTTCCATAAAATAACCGAGGGAGGGGGAAGAGGATGGTTTAAAAAATTTGTTGTTGCAATAATTAATTTTACACAATTATAATCTGGTGCAAATATTAATCAGATGACATAATATTCAGCTGAAATCAGGTTGAGAATTTTGTTCTAAAGAAAAACGTATTTTTGAGAGCGCATAATTTGACGTCTAATTTATGACTTCAATAATAACACAATTTTTACCTTTCTATATGGAATTAAAAATTTTAACGTTTAATAACTTATTAATATTTATAAATTTACAAAGTGAGAGAAGGGTTTGTTTGCTATTTTGTTCATTTTGGTTTTGTTTGAGCAAAGAAAAATGAAATTTAACAAGTTGACGTATACAAATATATATCTTTTTTTTTTTCGTAAAAACAAAACACCACCCTAATCCTTTTTAAAAATATTTCAAATAAAAATGTAAAATAATAGAACTATTTAAAAAAAGAAGTATTTAATTCCAAATTAAAAACGCCGTTTCTTTTTACGAATGTTTGTAAATATAATATGTTTATGTAATAAGTAATTCTACATCGTGATTTTTTTCTCAAGTTTTTTTTCTTAGCTCTTAGGTTTTCTTGATTGGTGTATTATTCTTTGAGTATTTAAAAAATGTATTCTTATAAATACATGTTGTTGAAAGAAAGCCTTTACTAACCTCTTCTTCAATTTCTTCATTTTATTTTCTAAGAAAACAATTAGAGCATTTTTTTTACAGAATTGGGTTTATATATTATATTTTTAAAATTATATTATTGTTCCATGATGCCTGTACACCTTGTACTCGGCATTATATAAGATTCCATAAATGGTCATGTATTATGAAAAATGCAAGAAATATTAATAACAACACACGAATTCTCTGTAAAATATTATTGAAAACGTATGCCAAGTAAGGTCAGTATAGCTTCCTCGCCGTTTTCATTGCCTAAAAATATGGCTGATAAATATTCAGGACGCAGTCTTTTTTAAAAAGTTTTTATTTATGCCAACGTTTCAACCCAAACATATGGGTCATCTTCAGGTCGTGGTTTGAGCACTGGGGATGTTCAAGTATTGTGAGTACTTGAACACCCGTAGTCGTATGTAAAACATGAGAGTTTTACAGGAGAGCATAAAAAGTAATTGTTTCTTTCTGATTTATTAGAACAATTTCATATTTTATTGCCCTCTATTTTCCATCGTAGAGCCATTTTATATTGTTAATAATTATTTATATCAATTTTAATTATTAATTAAGTGGAATTCTATGAAATTGATACTAGATAATTTTTATACTATTCTTCTAATTTCCTCTAAGTTTGGGTCAAATCGGAGGAGTAGGTTTCAGACTGTCAAGTAATGCATTTCCTGATCTGAAAGCGGAAGTATGTTTTTTTGGAGTAGTGGATATAATTTGATAAAATTATTATTATACTTGATTATCTGTTTACCAACCCCTAACTTCCTCCACAATTTGAGACAAATCGAAAATGGGGTTTCAGAGATATAGACGTATTAAGGAAAACACGTATCCGCATATATAAGAGAAAGTAATCGACAGAATTCAATAAAATTGACACTACATTATTTTTTCACCAATCCATGAAAATTTCATGAAAATCGAACAAACGGTAGTAGGTGATATGTCAGTCACATCGACTTGACTACAGACAGACAGACAGACACCGCACCAAATTTTATCTTTAATGTCTGAAACGTAAAACGCGAATGAAAATTTTCATTTAATTTTTAATTTAAAGAAATTTTAACTGCAAATCCTGACAATTTTTTTGCATCCTTTAATATTGTTGTATTATTAAATAAATACTCGCGAGATCTACAAACAACATTAAATGAAAAATGTGCTACAATGTTGTTTTGTTATCCTAAAATCCTACACTAATGATTATATTCTTGATAATATTCCAGTAAAACTAATAAAATCCAGCCTTCCTGTTCTTTATCATATCTACAACTTTTCATTACAAAATTCCATATTCCCATTCTCCTGGAAAACTGCTCTAGTCAGATTTTTAAATAAAATTTCCATCCCTACCTCATTGCACGACTTCTGTCCTGTTTCTCTCCTATCTAACCTTTCAAAGCCGTTAGAACGCCTTGTCCAAAATCAACTCTCCAACTTCCTAGAGAAACGTTCCCTTATCAACCCATTCCAATCTGGCTTTCGACCTGGATACTAAACGCAATCCGCTCTCCTTAAAATAACCGATGACCTCCAAAACTCCATTGAACACCAAAACCTTACTATCCTCATCCTTCTAGATGTTTCCAAAGCGTTCGGCACAATAGACCATAGCATCCTCCTTACTAAATTGCAAATTCTTCCTCTATCCAACAGTGCCCTGCGTTGGTTCAAATCCTTCTTTTCAAATCGCTCCCATTATATAGTCTTCCTAGGTCAACCTCTTTCTAAGACCCTTTCCCTCTCCAGTGGTATCCCTCAAGGTTTCTCTCTATTTTCTACTCTGTTTGCTATTTACATTAATGGCCTTCCTCTCCTGATCCATCACTCCCAATAGAATATCTATGCAGACGATTCCTAAATATAGCTGTCCTTTCCGTCCTCCGAACTGTTATCAGCCACAGAAAAACTTCAAGACTTGGATAGGATTTGTGACTGGGCGAGAGCTAACAAGTTGAAATTGAATGCGAAAAGACGAAGGCAATCTTAATAGGCTCCAATCACCTCCTTAATAGTGCTCCTAATATTCTAACTCTGTTCCTGCATGATAATCCCATCAAATTTTACCCCACCATCAAAAACATTGTAATAACCTTTGACCTAACGCTTTCCTGGAAACCATACAGTTGAAAAAAAGAACCTCCAAAGTAAAATTTGTAAAATATGAATAGCAGATAAGCTTCTTGTTTTGTATTTTTTTTTTCTCCTTTTTGCTCTTCTTTCCGGCAATATGTTTTTCCCCGAGCCAGGGGCAATGACGGGGGAATCCCTCAAGGAGGGGAAGGATGGAAAATCCTCAAATCTCTCCGCAGTAAAATCAAAAACCCGCACCTCATATCCTGTCTCCCCTGAAGATCTGAATTCCTTCTTTGCTGACCATTTCCCGACACCGTTCTTTCCCTTATACTGCATTCCAAAAACTCCCTTCAATCCTGAAAATTTCTATTCTACAAATGTTTCACCAGAGTATTTTCTTTTCTCTGTTCTCAAATCCAGAACAGATGAGCATGGTCCGGATCTAATTCCAGTTAAGCTAATTTAACTATGGCTTCTTGTGATCTTTTCTGTCCTACTACACATTTACAATTTTTCTTTACAAAACTCCACCTTCCCATTAGGAAGGAAAATTGGAATTGGAAATTGGAAAATTTATAGTCCTTTCTCTGACCCAAGTTTCAGTTCTTGAAAGTCTAATCCACTCAGCTTAATACCTTCCTTGAGCAAAAAGCTATTATCAATCTCCTCCACTCTGGGTTCCAATCCCAGTTCTTCACACAACCTGCTTTGCTGTAAATCACCCAAGACCTTCAATACTCCATAGACTAACAAAAAATCTCCATCCTGGGTCTCTTTGATTTTTCAAAAGCCATCATTCATCGACTCAGATAATCACGAAATTCTTCATTCCAAACTCCTAAATGTTTCCATATCAAATAGCGTCCTAAAGCGATTCCATTCCTTGTTGTATCACAGATCCCTAACCACAATCATTTCCAATAAAACTTCTTCCACCCCCGTCTTTCTGACTCGCGCCATTCCTCAGGGATTTTCGCCACAAACACTTTTCTCCATTTATATTAACGACCTTCCTTATTCAATCAACCATTCGCAATATCAACTGCATGCAGATGACCTCCAAATCTACCTGTCCTTTCATCCAACCGAGATACTTGAAGCGATACAAAGGCTACAAGAAGATGTAGACAGCATCAACGCATGGACAGAAAGCAATGGTTGGATGTTGAATGTTGGAGACCAAAGCCATTCTCATCGGGTCCAAGCATCTTCTAAATTCCATCCCTTATTATCTCCTACACTACCTAAATGGAGTACCTATTCACTTCCACATTTCCGTTAGAAACCTTGGGGTATTTTTTGATCAGCACCTTTCCTGGAATAACCATATTTCCCAAATTATCCGAAAATCTATTGCTATCTTCAAACAGTTCCTGAGATGGTGTGATTCTATGCCCACTAAAACCCATTAGCTCTTTGTTTCTTCTCTCATTTCCCCCCCTGTTATTATGACGCTCTTGTATGCGGTGGACTGTCTTGTGTACTTGAGATCAGATTGAAGAGATTAATAAATTGTATCATTCGAATCATCTTTGGAGTCCCCAGGTGTTCCTACGTCTCTAGTTGGTATGCCGAGTTGAAGTGGCTCCCTATATTTCCTAGATCTATTCTTTTCCGAACCTTTACAACCAAAATCCATCTTATCTTCTTCATTTGTTTACTCCTTGTATCTCTGTACATTCGTTTAACACGAGATCCCAGTCCACAGACCTATTTATTCCTTCTCATAGAACTATTTCCTTTAAAAAATCCTTTTTCATGCGTGCTGCCTTCTTTTCGTATTCCTTACTCACCTCCATTCGCAAATCTTCTCTCTTAACCTCACATCCTTTATTTTTTCACCTCATCAGCAATCAATCTATGTAAGAATAAAATTTTTGTATTTAGGAGCTGTCACCCCCATTCTACTGATATCCTACAGATACATGTATGTATACTACAGATGTTATCCTATAGATATTATCTACATTGCCTATTTGTAAAAATATGTAAACAAACTCATGTATATTTATCTACAATTTAATACGTTTAATTGAGCTAAGTTATTTGTAAATTTTGTTTATTGATAAAATTATCCCCAATAATCTTAATTAATTATTTCTCTATTATTTTCAAATGCCAGACAGATGTAAGTAGCTTTTCTGTTCATTGTACTTATTATTAAGGGACTATATGTCCCAGAATAATGTTTACTTTGCTTTCTTTCTTTCTGTTTTCTGGCATAGGACAATCCTGGGTTATGTGCTTCACTGTTAGTAGCATGGTTATGTTGAAGAAATTTAAAAATCTATAAAATTAAAAACAACAATAATTTCAATTTTTCAGCTGAAAAAAAAGCTGCCACTGCTGCTCAATTGTTATAAAATTAGAATGTGTTTTGTACTTTTACTCTTAGAATGTACTTTTCCACTCCTAAGTAATAATCGAATGCAGGATGAGCCCTAAAGTACAACTGCGTAACCGAGCGGTTTAAAGCGTAGTACGCTTCGAATTTCTCGAGTCGAGCGACACCTGTTCGCACCCAGCCTGGGCAAATTTCAATTTATTTGGAGGAATCTTGACCTTCCCACTATGGTTAGAATAGGTTTTGTTATCCTCTAGATTTCCCCCGCTCAAGTATGCCAGAATTGGCAAGGTAGGGATTAAAAAAAAATGCCTTTCTCACCTGGCATTAGTGCTTTAATGCTTTCGAAACTTATTGAATTCTGAAATAATATTGATCCCTTATATCTCAGTTATTAAACGGCTAGAGGTGTCTGTTACATGAAATGAAAATAGATTTTTATTATCCTGGAACTTTTGTCCCTTTAGGACAAATTATAGATACAAAGGAAATGCCTGTTTGGCCATAAAATAAAATAAAATATTTACAATGCTCATTAAAATAAAAATATTGGAACAAAAATAAAACAAAACCACTAAATACATACAGATATATACAATACAAACATGTGAAAATAAAATAACATAATTAAACAAAACCATTTCTGGGGAACCTAAAAAGTTCTCTTATCTACTTTTCATGATAATCGGGTTGAGATAGAAATAGGTGCTTAAAAAGAAGAGATTTAAATGAGGAAACTGATTGCGCATGTGGGATATCGGGAGGGATGGAATTCCAGGTGGAGATGGCTTGAATTATAAAGGATTCGTCAAACGCAGCAGTTCAATGAGGGGGTGGATAGAGGTCTAGTGGGACGGGATTGAATGGAATATTTAAATTGTAGGCTGTGAAAAATATAGAAAGGTCGCTGAGTTCAAATGGCTTGGTATAGAAAGGTAGCAAGGAAGTACAGACGGCGGTTGGATGGAAAGAGCCACTTCAACTTGGTGTAATACCGGGTTATATGCGTATCTCTTGAGATTCCGAAATCAAAACGTATTGCGCAGTTCATCAGGCGTTTAAGCTTGGCCTCGAATTCTCCCGAGAGTCCATCGTACACCAGACAGCTATAGTCGAAGTGGGGGAACACAGGGGAGGAAACTAGGAGTTGTCGGGATTTATATGGAAGGAGATAGCGGAGACGGTTAAACTGTTTCAGGGTAGAGATAGTACGACGGGAAATTTGGGAGATGTGTGGTTTCCAGGAGAGAGTTTGATCAAAGGTAACACCAATTTTTTTTACGGAAGTATGGAATGAGATAGGCGAGTTGTTCAAGAAAAGATTGGGGAGTGTCGGTAAGGATTTGAGGAGTGAGGGAATTCCGATCAGGATAGCTTTCGTTTTCTAGGAGTTTAGAGTGATTCTATTGTGGTTTGCCCAGGCACAAATTCCGTCTATATCTTTCTGTAATTTTTGGATGGCGTCAGAGGATTCTATGGTATTGAAGGAGAGGTAAATCTGGACGTCGTCGGCATACAGATGGTATTGGCAGAGTAGGATATAGGATGGAAGGTCATTGATGTAGATGGAAAAAATTGTGGGAGATAAGGAGGAGCCTTATGGGACACCTCTGGACAAGGTTAAAGGTTTTGATGTGATATTATTGGGGACTACAACATATTGGAAGCGGCCGTTAAGGAAGGATTAAAGCCAATTAAGGGTTAGTTTTTCGTCCATGGAGTCAACAAAACGAATTTTCCTTTCAGGGTCTTTGAGCTTCTCAATATTCCGCTTGGGTTGAGGTACTCTTCTTCGGTTCCAGGCAGTAGATATTCTATTTTGATAGATGTTAGTAAGTGAGTACAAAAAGAAATCTTTAGACAGACATGTTCTGTAGGTTATATTTCATAAAGTGACTTCAGATACCAGTGAGATGATTAGTTAATTGACTCTAGGGTGTAAATTTTGGTCATGAAGAATTTAAGATATTTCGATAGTATTAACTGTTTATAACATGCAGGGCCAAACTTAACATTATTTTAAAATTTTCATTTTATAAAGTCGCCATAATGGTTTGGGACAAGAAAAGGTCACTTTTTATCTGATCAATTATGTTAGCTGGTACCCAAAAATAAGATGAGATATTATGGGATGTCTGCATCAAATGCACAAAGAACTTTGTTTGTTAGCGGATTAGAAATCAATTACATTATTTTTAGGAATACAGCAATTCTCTAGCTAAATGTTGTTGTTTTATTTTTCCTTTCTAAATTTAAATAAAATTGGTATGTGGATATATTTATTTGAATGAAAACATGAAAATATAATAATCGATACTTGAACTCGATTAGATTCTCAGTATTATCTTGGGGATCCCTAAGATGGCGTAATGTACATAAGAAGTGGTGTTGTTTCCATTGACTTGTTTTCTATTGGAATGGATTATATTGTTATTTATAGTTTTAAGGTAATTTCTTATAATGATTTTATACATGTGGAAAATGAATAGAGCTTGTTTTGCTTTAATAAATTGGTTTTAATTGGATGCAAGTTTTGTTTTATTGTCTTTCATAGAATAGATTAGTTCTAATTAAGTATTACACAGATGTTTTGAATTTCATCCCTATTATTTTTTTAAAATTTCATTAATGTCCGTTTTAATGTAGAATTTTTGATCATTTTGCTGCTATGGTCATAATGGATCAATTGACTTGTGATTTTATGCTTATTAAGAACAGACTAGTCTGAGGTTTATTATTGTCCACAGTCCTTAGTAAAATATTATGCTTGACTTTCTTTTTTTATGTACTGCACACTGTAGAGAAGATATGCAATGTTATCTGAATTAATATATAATTAACATAAATTCTAAGGAAATGCAAAAATAATACATAGCTCCTTTTGTTATCGTTTAGAATAATTAAATTTTTTGTAATTTAATAAGTTTACTCTTGTATATCGTTAAACCAAAACATTAATTAATTATTATTAATTGTCATTCTTATTAATTGTAAATTATTGACATTAATTGTCATTCTAAACTTTTGTTTCTCTCTCTATGCAGTTATATTTTATGTTTATGGCACAAGTGATGAATGATTCTACATTTTCCTTTAAACTCATTCTAATTAAAGTTTAAATATTTTCCATCTTGTAGTAAGTAGTTGAATGAAGTGTGGTGCTGCAAAATGAGGAAAGAAAAATATAATTGCTTTCATATTTTTCTGTTTATATATTATGTACATTATTTCTTTATTTAAACATACCATGATGTAATTCATTATTACATAGGTTATTCTATTTTGAAGTGAATTGGGCCCTGGTAGCATATTGTTTTCATTCGTTGATTAATTTGAATAGTTATCATGGATGAAGCTGTGAGCAGTGGATCAAGGCAACATAGGCCGTGGGAAAATACTAAGTACAACAGCAGCACGACTCAGACTAGCCCTACAGTATCACTGGCTGAGATTTTTGACACTGCTTTCACTTCTGATGTTGATGCTCCCCAAAATGCAGATCTCATTATTGGTATAAATCATTGTTTTTCACCTAAGTACAGCAGTCAGCAGAACGTATGTAGGTAACCTCAGGTTATCACATAATATGAAGCTATAACTATTTTTCTGTGTGTAAAGTTTCACATTTTGTCTTCATTGATTTTCATGCTTCCTATTAAATCAATTAATATATTATAAGTGTATATCCTTTATTATTCTACTTATAAGTAGTGTCATTTTATTTAAGTGCTTATTAGAAGTTAAATAATTTTATAGTGTTAAAAATCTTAATCTTTTTACACACTGGTAATTGCTGTGCTTTTGATTTTTTTTTTAAATTTAATTTAACTCATATTTATGTTGGTGGGAGGTCTGCTGCTTATTCTGTTTTAAATTGTGGTTCGGGTATTGTATTGATTTTAAAACAATTTTCTTTGTCAAGATATAATTTTGAACATTTAACGTGTTTCTTTGGTAAGTAGTTTTAAAACTACTTTATTCTGGAACTTTTTTTTTGTGTTTTTAGGAAGAACTGCATGTTTTTAATTATTAAGATTAGTTTGAGCATGTAGGAAATGTTAACTCAACTGATATAAGCAGTTATATTTACGAAAGATGGTTTGCTTGAATTATGTACTCGTTTTATGCGTATCTCTCAGATGATTTGATTGTTGATAAGTTCTTTGACCAATCCCAATAATGGCTTATCCATTACAATAACATATGCCTTTTTTGTTTCATATAGTTTTCTTGTTCCTTTTATGTTTATTTTTCATGGATACTGTTAAAAAGTATGTATATTACTGAAACTAGTAATGATTTCTTTCATTGGTTCGGGTTTTATACACTATGTTTACTAACATATCAGTTAAGGATAAAACAAACACATGAAAGTTGCTGCACAGTATAAAATTAGATTGCTCCTTTTATTATAATGCTTATCTAGATTTTTTTTATAGCCATTTACACTCTTTTTCTTTTATTATAAATTAATTATAATCTATAATAAACTATATGTTTTAATGTGATAAATGTTTTGCATGTATAATAGAAGTAATTTAAAAATAACATTTTAGTTTCTCTTTGTTTACATTTTTTTTAAAACTTAATTTTAAGAATTTATAACTTTAATTTATTAAACTTACGTGTGGCCCACTGCTTTTATCTTCATCAATTAGTACCTTTATTTTAATTAGTGAATAGAATTTCTGTGGGGTTTCTAGTTTAAAGAAGTATTGTCTATCAATTATCACTTTTTCAGTTAATGTATTATCAGCTTCGTTGAAATTAACATGTTTATTTTTTTACCTATATTCAGTTTTAAAATCTTAAGATTAAGCCAAAAACTGATGAATTATTAGGCAATTTATTTCATTACCATTCCTAATTTTACTTCAAGATTATTTATAAGAAAGGAAAAGTCAATATTTTAACTGATCTATTATCAAGGGATGCCGCTTTAGAATATCTTGGAAATGATGATGTGATTCACTTATTTAATTTGATTAAATTAGATGATCAAGTGGAAAATTCTAAGGAACTAAACTTAGCGAAGAATAATGAAAAACGACGGAACATTATTTTTGAAAGACAGAGATAGATCAAGAATATACGTATTACAGCTGTATCTGGTATTAAGCTAATTCAAAGACTGCATAATTATTATAGTCAAATTGGAGTTCAAGAGAATGGATACGACCATTCTACTGTTTTATTAACTGTAATAAATTAATTAGTAAATTGTAAAATTGTTCAGACTGTGTGGAGAATTATGCAAAGTATGCAAGGGTAGAATTATGAGCTTAATGTCAAAACTAGAACCATCAGTTGAACCCTTTGAAATCATGTCAGTTGATACTGTTGGTGTTTTCATTGGAAATAGACCATCTTTGAAACTCGCATGTATTGGCTGATCATTTCTGTAGATATGCCTGGATTTCCCCATAAACAAGTCAATGCGCAAGGAATATTATTAACTTTATTGATTCAATTACAAACCCCTCCCCCCCCCCAAAAAAAAAAAAATCAAATGTTCCTGGCTGAACAGTACAATGGATTGAATTCCGAAGAATTCTTTGATTTAAATTCATAAAAGTTCCGACTGCTCCAACATTTACTAGACAAACACTAAACTTTCAATTAATTACAAAAGACTCATCTACTAACCATAATAAGACCTGTATGGACATAAGGAGTTGAGCTTTGGGGCTCTACCAAACCATCGAATTCCTATTGTATCCAATCCTTACAATCCAAAATCCTTCGTAAAATCCTTAATGCTCCACATTTAGTCACAAATAAAACCACTCATAAAGACCTTAATGTTCCATATGCCGCTGATTTAGCCCGAGCCAAAGTTCCTTTCATGATAAACTCCAGTCCCATCTGATTCCACTTCTTCCTCGATTCCTGATAATCTAATTCCCCTATGCATCTGAAAAGAAGATGGGTCTCGTGATATTCTCACCTACAATTATAATAGGGAGTGCTACCACTGGGCAGTATCTCTTCAAGTATGTTCATGTAATTATTTCTAATGTGTGCATTTTTACTGATTGTATTTTTTATACAGTTGTAAATTTCATTAAATAAGTAACAGAAACAAATTCAAAAAAATTATTTGGTAAAGAAGAATATCAAGTTTATATTCAACTCCATAAATTAGGTCTAATGAAAGTTTAAACCAAACTTTGGTTAATAGAATAATATGCAAAATAAACAGTGGTGATAATACTATTCATAGTTCTACGAAATTTGAACCACAATATATAAGTTTTGGAAAATAATCACCTATTCGTCCAGTTGGTGCTCTGCAGAAAAGAGATTTAGTTAAAGATAGTCAAAAAGCTTATTTTAATTCTACAAAGAATTTCAACATAAACAGTAGAAGTATTAATAAAAACAGAATAGAACATCAAATAAGTGATTTAGTCTATATTGAGAATCACCAGGCAAAAATTAAAATTATTTATATATTTTAATTTTTTTTATTTTTTGACCGCACCCTCGACTAATTCCTTCTCATATCATATCAACGGTCAACCAACTCTACATCATATATTGAGAATCATATTAAATTGGATAGAAAGAAGTTAGACAAAATAAGAGTTGGTCCATTTACTATTTACGAAGTTGATTGCGGTGAAAGGAAGTCGGTGTCAAATATATTTCATGCCAACAAATTGCCACTTATTTTAATTTAATTTGTAAGTTAAAAAAATTGATTTTATTATTCTGAAAGATAATGAAATTACACGAAAATAGGTTACTATATATTATATTCGATAATCACAATTGTAACTGAACATGTGATGAAAATAAAGATAATAAAAATAATTTACAAATATTTTTTATTTATTTTAATGATCTTGCTGATTATAAAATTGATTTGACGTTCAATTCCTTAACTTGCAAGGGGAAATTACAGATGTGAGGTCACCGATTTAAATTTTTTTCTCAAAAAAATAGGAGCCGAGAAAAAAAATGTTTAATAAAATTTTATTGTTTTCATGTTAATTTTTTCTAATTTTGCTCTGCAGAGATTTATAACTTATTATATATCAATTGATTTGTTTTTTTTGTGTAAAATATGATAAACATATTGCTAATTGTATTAAACGAATAATAAATTACAAAAACCCATAGACGCTTTGAGTAAAGTAGGCCAAGTAAATTTTTGTCGTTTAAAAAACGATTCAGATTCGTTTTTTAGGGTTCATTATACTCTTAAATATGAGTTTGTTTTGAAATCAAAAAATATAAATTTATGGGCATAATTTTATGGGAGCATTTTTTTTAATGCCGTATACTAAAATATTCATAACTCCTCAGGCTTTTCTTCTAAGTCGACATTACTAAACCGTTGGAAAGTTAAATTATTGCTCTTCAAAACTAAATTGATATCTTTTAGATTTTACGCCTTTATAAGGAAAAAATAAATAAGAACTCCCCAAATGTTTTCATTTTTTTTCTCCAAGCCTAATTTATTTGCTGGATTCTGGTTTGTGCCATTTTGTGTATATTATATATCACACACGCACACACACCTACAAGCACACCCACACGCTCCCTCCGGCGCACACACCTACAAACATGCACACACCTATAAACACGCACACATGTACAAACATGCCCACATACATACAAACACGTGCACGCACATACAAACACGCGCGCACACACACACACACACACTTGGTTATTTGGACTAAAGAGACCTCAAAACATGTATTTCCATTCAAAACTCAAACTCGAAAACTTTCACTATAACAATATTTACCCTTACTATATATTGCATATATAGGTAAATGAAAGTAACAAAGTTTAATGAAAAGTGCGATAGTTTCACATATACTACAGAGAAATAAAATAATCTTTTAGTTATGATTTCCTAAGTTTGCTAGTAATTTTTAATACTTTATAAAAAATTAAAAATGTGCATGTTTTTTGGCTACACATCCTGATCATTTTTCATCTTGATAATATTCAACTCCAAATTGTTCAATTTCAAAGATTTTTTAGTATAATTTGTGAACTTTTAAAAATTTGAAAACAAATCAGTCCAGTAGTTGAGGAGGAAAGCCGCAAACGGTGGATGGAGAAAAAAGTTTTTATTTGATTTTCTAATTCTACGTATTGTGAAAGATAAAACCTCAAATTTTGAGGAGGGGTTAAATTTTTGGACGATCACAATGGTTCATTATTGAAAATAATAAACCAAAAGCTAAAAGACAATGTTTTAATCTAATTAAATTAGTCTTCAAAAAATTATCAGAGCTAATATTATTTTTTAAAAATTAAGATGTTTCCATAAAACAATGGGTTTCCTTAACCTACAAGTTTTCTGAGCGTTCCTTTGTCCTCGTCCTGGGTCTATTCCTCTCATTAACTATGTCTCATCATTGAATTTTCTATTTGCTCATTCCAAGTTCAGCTGTAACAAAAACTTTCCTACAAAAGAAATAAATAGAAGAAATTTTTAAATTCATGTTCTAGTTAGTTTCTAATGATATATCTAAAGATATTTGTAAC